AGGATTGAACAAAACATATAGAAACAACGCTCGTAACATCAATTGCAAACTCCCAGTGAAATTAAGACCATCATCATCTATTGTATCAAAGATTTATCACAAACTCAAATCTCTTTATTAACTCAACGCACACAAAGCTTGTTTGCAACTCAAAACACAAAGCTCTTAAACTCAACACACTTAATATGATGCAACACACCTGCATCTATATTTATATCAAGACTCTTATTCCTAAACTCATTAGGTAAATAACGTAGATAATCCTAAACTCATTAGGATAACTCTCAATCCCGATATTCTCTCTTTTATTCTTATCCCTCAATAAGAACGTGTGTAACTTGCGTCTCAAGTTATTGCAAGTTTGATTCAACAATCTCCCCCTCAAACTTGAAATCTCCACTTGACACATCTTTCATCCCAACCAGACTTCTCATCTCTCTGAACTTCGTTCTCCCAAGTGCCTTTGTCAGTATATCCGCCTTTTGTCTCACGCCTGCAATGTGTTCAACACTTACCATGTTTCTCTCCACACATTCTCTAATAAAATGGAACCTGGTGTGTATGTGTTTGCTGCGACCGTGGAATACAGGATTCTTAGTCAGTGCTATAGCTGACTTATTGTCGATCCTTATGACAACCTTATCACTCGAATGGCCATAGATCTCTTCAAGTAAATCCTGCAACCACACTGCTTGTTTAGCTGTCTCAGTTGCAGCCATAAACTCCGCCTCACATGAAGAGAGTGCAACGATCTCTTGTTTCTGTGAGCACCAAGTAATAGGGTTCCCTCCGAGATAGAAAATGTGACCTGTGGTACTCTTACCATCATCAGGATCGACGTTGTAACTACTGTCGCTATACCCGATCAATCCTTCCTTGGAATTTGCTCTGAACTCCAAGCCATACCCTAACGTTCCTTGTAGATATCTTAACACCTGTTTAAGTGCAGCTTTATGAGACTCCTTTGGTGCGTGCATATAGCGACTCAGGACCCCTACACTGTAAGCAAGATCAGGTCGTGTGTGTAATAAGTATCTGAGACAACCAATGTTTCTTCGGTATTCTCCTTCATCAGTGCTTCTTTCTTCTTCTGCCTTGCTTAACTTTAACCCTGCGTCCATTGGTATGTGTACTGCATTGCAACCTTTCATCCCTGCTTCCTCGAGTATTTTGGCTGCATACTTCTCTTGACTCAATACAATTCCCTCTTTTCTCTGCAACACTCTTATGCCGAGATAATAGCTCAGTGGTCCAAGGTCACTCATCTCGAATCTGTTAGCCATGTCTCTTTTGAACTCAATGATCAAGTCTAGTCTCGAGCCTGTGACAAGTAGATCATCGACGTACACGGCCACAATCAAGAGTTGTTCACGGATCTCCTTTCTATACAGAGATGGCTCCTTTAAGCACTTTGTAAACTTCAAATCATGTAACACTGCATTGAGCTTCTCATTCCATGCCCTTGGAGCTTGGCGTAACCCGTAGAGTGCTTTCTTTAGTTTGTATACCTTAGTCTCACTGCCTTTGACTGTGTATCCCTCTGGCTGTGAGACGTATACTTCCTCTTTCAACTCTCCGTGGAGGAAGGCCGTCTTTACGTCGAGATGATGCAGCTCCCAACCGTGTGTTGCAGCTATCCCTATGATCAGTCGTACGGTCTCTATCCTTGCAACTGGAGCAAACACCTCTTCAAAATCTATGCCCTGTTTCTGAATGTAGCCCTTTGCCACGAGTCGTGCTTTATATTTGTTTATACTCCCATCAGAGTTTCTCTTGACCTTGAAAACCCACTTCAATCCGATTGCTTTGTGCGTTGAAGGAAGATTGACCAAGGTCCAAGTATTGTTTTTAACAATGGACTCAATCTCATCATTACACGCGTCTCTCCAGACCTTTAATTCACATGCTTCTTTGTAGCTCCATGGTTCTTCATTAACCATAAGCAACAAGCGTTCACACTCAGCTTCACAAAGTGTCTCATAGCTGTCCTCTTCGCAGAGTAATTCATACTCTTCAAGATACTTTGGTTTAGATGTTACTCGTGTTGACCTTCTCAAAGGATCCTGAGTCTCAAAAATACTAGTCTCTTCTTGCTCCTCTTCTTCATTTACTGATGGAACTTGTCCTCCAAGTTCCCCGACATCAAAATCTATCTCATATTGTTTTGTTTCCTCTGTTTTCTCTTTCTCGTTCCACTTCCAGCCCTTTTCTTCATCAAATATCACATCACGACTCACCACTATTCTTCTTGTTGATGGATCAAGCAGCCTATAAGCTTTTGATCCAGGTTCAGTTCCCAAATGGACCAGTGTCCGTGACCTATCATCTAGTTTCTTTAGATGTGGAGTATCAACTTTTGCATAGCCTATACAACCAAAAACTCTTAAGTGTTCAATGTTTGGTTTCTTGCCCTTGAAGCACTCATACGGCACTTGCAGACTGAGTGTCCTTGTCGACACTCTGTTGATCAGATAGGTTGCATGCCTAACAGCTTCCCCCCATAACCAGTTTGGAACATTCATGTGCTTCAGAATGCTACGAGTCATCTCAAGTAATGTCCTGTTTCTCCTCTCCACCACACCATTCTGTTGTGGTGAATATGGTGCGGTTAGGTGACGTTCAATACCTGATTCACCACAGAAATCTTGAAATTCTTGAGACATAAACTCTCCTCCTCTATCTGTTCTGAAGACCTTGATTGTTGTATTTGTTTCCTGCTCGACTACCTTCTTAAACCGTTTAAACTTTGAGAACGCTTCACCCTTATCTTTCATGAGAATGGTCCACATATACCGACTAAAGTCATCAATGAGGACGAACACGTATCTATTCTTTCCGGCTGTAGATGGACTTATAGGACCACACAAATCTCCGTGTATCAGGTCTAGTACTTTTGTTGCACGGTAGGAGCTTGCCTGTGGGAATGATTTCCGAGTTTGCTTTCCTTTCAAACATGATGCACATGTTTCTTTCTCGATCTTGATCTGAGGTAACCCCTTCACTAACTCTTTAGTGGCCATTGTTCTCAGATTTTCAAGTCCTACATGACCCAAACGCGCATGCCACTTTGATGAGACTCCCATGTGAAGAAGTTGTAGACACTTGGGCTGCTCAACTTCCATAAGCACTTTGTATAATCTGTTCTTGGCTCTGCGTGCTTTGATGAGCAATTTGTTGTCTCGATCATACAGATGTAGCTCATCCCTCTTCATTCTTACTTCACACCCGGACTCAGTAGCCTGTCCAAGGCTTATAATGTTGCTTCTAAGATCAGGAATATAATAAACCTCTGACAAAACTTTCTTTTCTCCTTTCTCAACAGAAAAAAGTATAGATCCTTTGCCTTTAATGTCGATTCTGGAATCATCACCAAATCTAACTTTTCCTGTGACTTCTTTATCAAGTTTTGAAAAGAAATTCAGGTTGCCTGTCATATGGTTGCTGGCCCCGTTGTCCAGATACCATAGGTTCTCATTAGTATGTTCTTCATTGAACACACTTGGTTTGCAATTCCTCTCATTCAAGAATACTACCTCGTGCATCATTAAGTCTTCTGCTTCTTGAGTTTGAGAACCCTCATTCTCTTGTGTCTCTTGCAGTTTTAACAGCCGATCTGGACAGTTCTGCGCAAAGTGTCCTATCTTGTCACATCTAAAGCAGACAACTCTAGATGCATCTCTTTCTTGCCTGTAGTAGCTTCCACTCTGTTGGTAACCGTACCGACCTCGTCCTCTTCCAAAGCGACCACCTCTTCCTCTACCTCTTCCATAATCAGACCTTTCCTGATGCGGTTTTGATTCTGAATTTGCATATAACAGTTTGCTTTGTCCTTGATCCTCACTTTTCTCTTCTTCTTCCTCATCACGAATTCTCTCCTCATATGCCTTTAGCCTTCCAACAACGTCCTCAAAGGGTGTTGTATTAAGATCAAGGATTTGCTCAAGCGTGGCTGTTAGTTGTATGTACTTCTTTCTTGGCAAACTATCAAGGAGTTTCTTTATAAGGTCTGGTTCGTCTATAGTCTTGCCTAAAGATTCAGATTTGGATGATAGCTCTGTAAGTTTCCCAACAAAGCTGTCAATTGTTTCCGTATCTTTCATCTTTAGACGACTAAGATCAGCTCTTAAGGTTGCAAGACGAGCCTCCTTAACTCTGTCAACTCCCATATTCCTTGTTTTGATAGCCTCCCAAATTGCTTTTGCAGACATCAAGTTCCCAACCTGCATTATCATTGTTTCTGATATTGATTGTAGTAGTAGTGCTCTTGCTAGATCATTCTTTTCTCCTTCTTCTCCTGTTTCAACGGTCTCCCACGCTTTATGAACCTTCAAAGCTGCTTGCATCCGTATTGTCCATACTGTATAATTTGTGTCATTCAATATTGGACAATGAATGGATGAAGTACCATGATTCTTGATGTTACTTGTCGCTGCAACAATATCTTTATCTCCCATAGCTCTGATACCAATTATTGTATCAAAGATTTATCACAAACTCAAATCTCTTTATTAACTCAACGCACACAAAGCTTGTTTGCAACTCAAAACACAAAGCTCTTAAACTCAACACACTTAATATGATGCAACACACCTGCATCTATATTTATATCAAGACTCTTATTCCTAAACTCATTAGGTAAATAATGTAGATAATCCTAAACTCATTAGGATAACTCTCAATCCCGATATTCTCTCTTTTATTCTTATCCCTCAATAAGAACGTGTGTAACTTGCGTCTCAAGTTATTGCAAGTTTGATTCAACATCATCATCATCACTTTGTTTATTTGCTCTCATCTCGCATTCTCTAACATATGTATTCGGAACAGATGGCAAAAAGAGAAAGAGAGTTTAGTTTATGTTTGAGTTCTTCTGTAAAGTAAAAAATAAATAAATAGTGTGATGGTCTTAAAAGCATTATTTATATGAGGTAGTCAGCAAACTCCTGTTAGATTATTTTTACTTTGGTACTTATGGTTGAACAAGTTCTCCACCTTTTGTTCTCTGGTACAACAAAAAGGCTTAATATATTGGTTTTAAACAATTAAACATAATTGAGTTAGTGCTAGTAAGCTCTTCTATCTCTCTTCACTGTAAGCTATTGATTGATTATAGGCTAATCATCTCTCTTACATGATTCCATCTACATATATATATATATGTAACTCATTTATAACACAGACTCAAGAGTGGACTTTGCCATCATTAGATAGAGTTCAGGTCATCATCAACATCAATGCCGAGTCACTCTCCTCCCACACAGAACGTTTCTGTCCAAAAAAAAACAAAGAGGTAAAGTCAGTATATATCTATCAAAGGACTCTAGAAGGTAGAGTCTTTTGGGGTTTATATATATACACTCACGATAAACAGCCGTGGTTAGACTTTTGCTTCTTCGTTTTCTTGGTCTTCTCCTTTTGTTTAACCACCGGTTTAATCACTTCCTTGATCGCTGAATCAAAAACTGCTTTTACATTCTGCAAATTGTACACTTTCAGTATTCAATCCAAAGAGAAGAGTTGTCTACTATGAAGGTGATTCAATATACCTGTTGAGTCTTTGAGCTACATTCAATGTAATACGTGGCGCCAATTAGCTTACGCAACTCCTCTCCCTGTGACATTGTAACATGTTTATTTATACAAAGGAATCATATGAAATCTACAAAGTCTACTGATACCAAACCTGTGCAGTAGTTACAGGGGATAGTCCAGGATGGTCAGCCAAATAATGCTTATCTTCACGGAGATCTACATGGGATGTTGTAAGAATCATAACTATGTTATTATATATATAAATGGAATGCTCATAAGTTTCCTTACCTAATTTGGTACCAACAAGGACTAATGGAACTCCTGGAGCAAAGTGTTGGAGTTCAGGTATCCACTGATTCAACAAAGATAGAGTCATAAAAACATTGGAAATTGACTTAGATACTGACATTTTCTCTAATGGATGAATCCAAATTCAAAACCTTTTTGAAAACATTCTCGTAGCTAGCTCGGCTGACCAATGAGAAAGACAGGACAAAGACATCTGCTCCTCTGTAACTCAAAGGTCTTAATCTGTTATAGTCTTCTTGCCCTGCAAAACAAAAACACACCCAGAGATAAATGTAAAAGGCTAAATGATCTAAAGAAAGTGAATCAAGCCAAGAATTTGAGAAATGTATTTTAGTATTATTCATACCAGCAGTGTCCCATAGTCCTAAGTTCACAGTGGTGCCTTCAACTACAACGTTTGCACTAAAGTTGTCAAAAACTGTTGGTATGTAGTCCTGTTTTACAAAATTCACCAAAACCAATCTTTTGATCAAAATCCAACAACTGAGATATAAAATATATATACAGTATTATAAAATTATTAAGAAAATTCTGAAGAAACCAGAGATAACTATAAAGCTGAACTAAGACACAAAAAGCTGCAAAAACCCAACCTAGACATAAATTAATCACATAAAGCTAAAATAAGACACAAAAAGTTGATCTTTAGTTACTCATGCACAATCTCTAGAGAAAGGAGCTAACTTTGAAGTACCCAGATAGATTCCAAGAATCTTTTTTAAAAAGGGGAACCTTTATTACCATCTCTGAGGAAAATTTGTTTTTTTTTTTGGAAATTTGAACTAAATCTGAGAAACCCAGATGAGATTCTTGATCAAAGTTTCAGACAAGAGACAAGAGAGATGTAATGAATGAAGTAAACTCACAGTAGGGAATTTGTTGCTGGTGTAGCAGATGAGCATACATGTTTTACCAACGGCGCCATCACCAACAGTCACACATTTTATGAACTTTGAAGCAGTTGAAGCCATTTGATTGAAATCTCAACACACAGACACAGCCAAAAACAAAACAAGAAGAAGGAAGGAGAATAAGAAAGAGAGAGATAATTTAAGTGGGATTACTTTAACAAGGAAGATGAGTTAAAATATAAAGCAAACCCCCCCCCCCCCCCCACAAGACAGAACATAGGAAAAGGAAGGAAAGCCTTTTCTGCTTGCTCTTTTCAATATTTCCAAGAAAAATTATGTCAGTTTTATTATTCGTATATATAAAAATATTGTAATAATCTTGTGTTTCATTAAATAATCATCTATATTTTATGAAAATTGGTCAAAGAATCATATGTATTTTTATATCAGTTTTTTGTCGTTACGTGTGTTTGTTAGTTAAAACTGAATTATACATTAATGCGGTTCTGCCACCAATAATAACCATCAACTATAGAAATGTATAACGAGATAATTATTCTCGAGAGTAGTTTTTAATAGTTACGTTAAGCATCAGTGACAAGTGAAGATGTGGCTGCTGATCTCATTTACATATATATATACGTTAACATGTACTGTCGAGTACATGTTTTGTTATTAGTCAAAAATAAATAAATACATGTTTTGTTTTTCCCTATATCACATAAAATAGAAACGAAATTAAAAACAACAGCTTTTAAGAAGAAAAAAAAATGAAACCATCATTTCAACAAATATTTTATAAGAAAGATACAGCAATTACTTATTTCTATAATGAAAATATGTTGTAATCCTACTTGATTATAAGCATAAATCTACCGTTTCTAGTTAATAGTGCTAAGAAAACATACATTTTTATTTCGAGTTGTTCATTTGTTATATTTGGAAAAAAAAAAAAGGCCTTTTATGTGGACCTATATTTACTTTTCAAAAATTATCATCGAATTTTACTCAATAATGTAATATCAGCCAACAAGAGTTTCGTTGGCAATCAATTCAAAAAAAAAAAAAAGAGTTTCGTTGGCAACTACCAGCAATAAAAATTCCAAGATTCACAAAGTATCATAGCAACTTTTCTGTATTTTAAAGTCGAACAACTCTTACCAAATAATTCCTTTTTGTTTGTTAATGGATACAAGTTCTGGTTTAGAAAGTAAAAGTACTTATATTGTTAGATAATGATTTGTAGGTGGAAGTTGAAGCCAAACTTGTTTGAGGATATCTACCAAAAGTGTAGATAATTGATTAACAAAGTTATATATAAGATAAGTTAATTATTTGGAGTAACACCTACGACTTGTATCGACGCAACCACCATAACTATGAAACGCAAAAGTATGTTAGCTGGAGAGGTGTTCACAAGGAGAGGACCACGGGGCTTTTGCTCTTTAGTCTAAAGATGTTTTGTTTTTAGTATTTTACAAGTCATTCCCACCAAACACTTCCAAATTAAGATCTTTAAATAAATAAAAATTAGCTGGTTGATATACAATAAAATGACAAAACATAGAATAAATCAAATAAGCAAGCTTAATGAAATCAAAACTGTGAAGTGAAACTAATTATCATTCAAGTACAATCTGTAATGCACATATACCTTTTCATATATTGAAAATAAATCTACTTAATCATGCAACTCTAGATATCATATGATGCCGAAATAAACAAGAACCTCAATAAACAATTGTGTCACACAATAGTGGTTAAAGTACTCGCACACTTTGATTTAAAGTTAACAAGTGCAGCGGGCCGATAACTCAATATGGGCCGCATTTTATTATCTACAGTCCAGTTGAGGCTATTTAATTGAGATACAAGTCTCAGGCTTATGATTTGATTGTTCTTTTTCTTTTGAACACCATGATTTGATTGTTTAGTGTTCCAATTTTGTGAGAATGTTTGTCTTGTGGTCCACTGATTGATCGAATCCAACCATGGCCTTTTGTGTAATTTTCTAACGTACATGATGTAGATAGAGATGTAGCCGCTCCTCTTGCCACAGAGATTAATTACAGTTGCAACATCATCGACCATGGTTGGAGTCAATCTCCTCACCCTCTAGTTGCATTGCTTATTTTATATTCTTGTGACGTATTTTAACGACCAGTTTTGCTGAATTTGATGTTTTATCTGTATAGTGTTAGCTACAAGTAGATCACCCACGCTTACTCCCTAGCTTACGTTTCCTTGACAAACTATCTTTTTGGTTAGGTAAAAAAAACGTTATAGTCTGATCTTTTGTGCTAGGAACCTTAGAAAGAGTAAGTTAAATAGATATGGACCTATCTTATGGCACATTTGAATATCCGGAGCGACGTCCATCCGTGGGCTGCACAGTCTGAGCTTCTCCATAGTTCTGAGATACTCCCAAAATTAAAAAAAAAACATTAGAAAGAATAAGTTAAATGGAAGTTATTTGTCAGGAGATCTTTGAAAGATTTAATCAAAAAAGAAATTTTATATTTTTGTATGTATTCATATTGTAAAATTACTAACATATACAGTATAGATTTCCTATTTTCATTTATATAATAATGATTTGTAGTCTCTTTTTCCACCTCGGTTTATTATATAACGTCCGGCCTACTGTATTGTATTATATATGTGGAACCCTAAATATAAACAATACTAGTGGAAAGGGGGAATATTACTGGGAGAAAGAATGAGGGTTTTCAAGAAGAAATTATTGTTGAGAAATCAACCATGGATTATAAACAAGAGAAGAAGACGAGAGAGATCTTGCAGAGATGATAGATGTCAGGTAGACAACATTCATCGTGATCTAACCTTGGAGATACTCTCAAGGCTTCCTCCAAAATCGATCTTGAGATTTCGATGTGTCTCGAAGCTGTGGTATTCTATTACCACTCTTCCTAGTTTTATCAACTCGTTCACGTCTCGGTCCACTTCACGAATTATGGTGACATTATCATCAAAATCAGCAAAACATGTATTATTCTTTCCTACACACCAGATTCCTGACGGGTCGTTTTATTCTCCACTAGACAGTTATGAAGTAACAAACTTAGATTGGAAAAATTCGCGATCCGAGAGCATCCATGGATTGATTTTAACACCCACATTGGAGATTTGGAATCCAATCTTGAGACGGTTTTTAGCCTTACCACATCCTCCTAGTAAACACAGCTCCAGTCAAGGTTGGTGGTCTTTTTTTGGTTGGTCGTCTTATTTAGGATACGATCCATTGGAAGGTAAACACAAAGTACTTTGTGTATTATCTACAAAATACTCGGATGACCCTCTGATTCTTACATTGGGAGGTCAAGAAACATGGAGAACAATAACCAAAGGACGTTGCCCTATGCATCGTCCAACTGGAGAATATGGGCGATGCTTCAATGGGATTCTGTATTATAGAGCTCGTCTTCTTGGTGATGGTTATGATATCATAATGAGCTTTGATGTCAAATCTGAAAACTTCAATATTATAAAATTTCCGGAGGATCGCGCTTGTCAGCTTCATATGATACCTTATGAGGGAAGGGTAGCCTTAGTTACTCAGAGCAACTCCATTGCTGAACCTCTAAAGAGGGTCCTTAGCATTTTGTTTTAATTATTTTATTTAATTTTGGAAGGTTAAGGACTTTCAATATTTTGGGTGTCCATTGGTGAACTCCAAAATGGAGTTTTTAAAAATAAAATAAAATTATGTTCATTGAAAAACAAATACAAAACATACAAATATTAAACATACAATAGTTTAGCCAAGCTATGAAAAACAAAAAAAAGACCTGAAGCAGACGAATTGGATTTCTAGCAATGGTGATATCACTTGCAATTGAGAGTACATGGTTGATCAAAAGTCGGATATCATCAGCAGCCTTGATTNCAAACTCCTCAGTGATTTCCATATTCTGAACTGGTGGCAAAGGTCTGAAACAAAATTCATCGATGGTGTACAAATAAGAACAACAGAAAAGACATGACTCGGTTTTCTAATAATAGCACAGTTCCAATACTCATTCAAATTGTGAAGCAACAACTTATAACACAGTGAAAGTAGAAAAAAAAACCAACAATGGCGCATAAGAAATGCAACAAAAAGAATGGTAGCATTTAGTTAGCTGGAAATGTAGTTGTTTTACTTTGGTGAGACATGTTAAATCCTTTTGTGTTGTTTTACTTTCATTTGTTTCCGTACTATCTTCTCGATTCCGTTATAACAAGGAAAGACCAGAGATGTTATTTACCGGTTGAGTAGTGAAACAGACTTGGCCCCTAAGAAGAGGATGGCAACAAGAAGAAGCAAGAACACTGGAGACGAAGATTGTAACCAGCTCTCTCAAACAGGAACCAAAACACAGTAGACGAGACTAGCAAAACGACCGCACCGGTCCGGTTTCTCCATAGCAGCGAGAATCACTACTGTTATTGATTGGTGCTTCAGGGGGCTGCTGTTCAGGCTTATCAGCCAATGATATCACATTGTTGACTGTCCAAAAAAAAAACTCAATAAGCATCACAAGACTATGATAGAACTTAATTGATGTTCTTAAAGATTTCAGGTTTTTCAAAAAAAAATTCTTGTATCAGGATCAGATAAATATACAGGACCAGTTTTGTAGAATACCTTTGTGTTACTCAAGAAACAATTGATTTTNGGCTTATCAGCCAATGATATCACATTGTTGACTGTCCAAAAAAAAAACTCAATAAGCATCACAAGACTATGATAGAACTTAATTGATGTTCTTAAAGATTTCAGGTTTTTCAAAAAAAAATTCTTGTATCAGGATCAGATAAATATACAGGACCAGTTTTGTAGAATACCTTTGTGTTACTCAAGAAACAATTGATTTTGAGATATGTTACTTGAAGAGTGAGAGACCAGGTGCTGAAGCTGTTACTCCAAGAAGTGTATGCCACACTCAATGCAGCAAGGAAGTGAAGAAAACCTAACACCTCCACAGGATTCTCTGCCTTAATCAGAGTTGTAAGATTTAGCCAACTTCTGTTCTGATTCGAAAGATCAATCTTTGATTCCAAAGCCAAAAGAAGAAGAAAACCCCAAATCAGAAACACAAATCGTATCCCAAATCCTCTTCGAACCCTAACGAAAACCCTAGATAGCGATTTACTGAAGAACGATCAAGATGAAGGAATCGCCAATTGAATCGCCTTTGGAGATTTTTTTTTCTTTCTCTCGCGTAACTTTTTTTTCCAAACCAGAGTTGGGCAAAACGACACCGGCTTCTACAAGCCACGTCATCTAGGACTCAACTCTAAAAACCCTTAATTAAGGGGCACCTCTTGTGAAAAAGCAGAACTATAATATTAATCTAATCCGATTTTGTTAAGGGGCTGGGCTTAAGAGGTCCCGATGGAGATGGTCTCATACCTCTTATGTTGTTAAACTCTATGTTTTGAAAGATGCACATGGACACGAGTGGACATGCTTGGATCTTAGACCATGTGCAATGGGGAATCCTTAGGGGGAGTCCTTAAAAAAATATTAATTTTATAATCACTGGATCCCATGAATAGTTAAGGATTTTATTCTAAAAATCCTTATGTAAGGATTGATCCTTACACTATTCATGGGCTCCACTGCACACGTGGCGGTCCGTGAGTGGTCAGTTTATTTTTTTTTAAAGAAAAAATCTGAAATATCCTTATATAATCTGAAATACCCTTTTTATTTTTTTCTTAAGGATTCTCCTAAGGATTCCCCATTGCACATGCTCTTAGTGTACCATGTAAGAGCGTAGGGAGGTATTCTATACATTTCAGGGGTACTACGGATGCTGGTGAGCTTGTTTTTGCTCCGTATAATTTTTATCAAGCTTCTTATATTTTATATTTAGATCCGAGGAGAAATACTAGTAGAAAAGTCTTTTTTGAAAGAAATTTGGATGAGTTTAGACGCAGTTGTGGACTTGATAGCAAATACAAGTTCACCATGCAAGTATTCCCAAATCACATGGAGAGTCTCTTTTCTTTGTAGAGCACACCTTTGGTGCTCCATGCTCTTTACTATTTAGTGATTTTTGTATTTGTTTTTGCATTTTTTCTCTTGTTGTTTTCTGAGAACACATATTGTGTACCTTGATGTTCTTTAGTGCTACTTTGTTCTTTTTATTTTCTTATGCTATTTCTTACTAAGATTTTTTGCATTAGAATACTGATAAAGGGGATACTCCACAATTGCTTCGATGATTCTATAATAATGGGAATCACCAATAAATATGATTCTTAAATATCTTCTCCAATTAACAATTGAGATCTGTATCCGAGAATATTATCTTCTAATATAGCCTAAGAACACGTTTAATTTCTACAATGCCAAACACAAAGCATGAGTTTCCTGAACCCACAGTAACTATATATCGGTTGAAAAGTTGAAACACAGAAGGAAACAACAGCTGTGTTTTTCGAAGTTTCTCAAAACTTCACTTTAGGCGGCGGTGTTGAAGTTTCTATCGATTTAGTATAGGTTATTATGTGGTGATGGAGTTCAAAGATATATTCTGAAAAATGCACATGGACACGAATGGACACATTAACGCTTTCTAAGTGTATCTTGTAAGAGCGAATGGAGGATTCATATCAGTTTCTTGGGGGTATTAGTGATGCTGGTGAGCTTGTATCTATATTATTCTAATGTTTTAACCATTTATTTGCTTTGTCAAATCATTTATAATCAACTTAAAAGTTATTTAAAAATGGGGTCTAATTTTTTTATATCTGGAAATGGTTAGGATAGTATTTGTGTTTTACATCAAAAAGCTATTCTGTAGATAGTGTATTTAGTAAAAAACATATTTATATATAGTTGGTGGTATACTATATTGTATTTCATAATTTCACTAATAGCTAAAGTATATGGTTTGGTTTATCCGACGGAGATTCGCCGGCGTGAAGTGAGTTTGAGACGTATTTGTGGTGTTGTCTCCGGGATTCTTGATCGGCTTGCTGAATGATTATTGTTGTACTATTTTTCTTTTAGTAATTGAGCTAAGATGGCAAAATCTCTATCTATAATTGAGCTTATGGTAATTATAAATATCTACTAAATTTGGAATTTGTAAGTTTTAATATATTTACTTTATCGTTCTTCTCATTTGCTTTAAACAGAACAATGTTTTTTTTTTTTTTTTTTGCTAAAAGATTTACAGAACAATGTTTCGAATATGTTGAAAACTTTTTAAAATAGCGATAAGGTTTTTAAAAGCATCACTTAAAGAAGGAAAGCTAACGTAGTCTATGCATTAACAAAAAAAATAAAAAGATGATCAATGATCAACCACATAAGTCATAACTACTACTATCACTACTTTTTCAGCCGACGTCGACTGATCTGCGAATTAAAAGCAAAAGACGTGTTACTTTTCTGGGGTTTTTGCCAAAACTAACCTACAACTTGGTTTTGACCCCAATACTAGACTCAAACTTCAATCAAATGCAAATCTAACCTAAAAGTGGTATGAAATTACAGTATAGTCCTTTGTGACCAAACAAAAAAACAGAAGATATTTTTACGAATTTAGCCCATTTAAGTTGTCTGAGTCAGATTGAGCTAGTTTTCAGTCGTCTGGACGACTGAAATATTAGTTGTCCGGATGACTTAATCTTAAAAATAATTTATAAATTTTGTAAAAAATACTTTGATGAGTGAAAATTAAAAGCTTATAATTATAAACATTTTAAAGTGATATAAATTAAGAAATGATAAAATTGATTTATTTTCAGCATAGATGAGTGGAAGTAGTGAATCATGATATTCTTTGGTCTAAGGGTTTGGCAAACATATGTTGTAGCATTGTATGTAATCTTATGGTTAGATTTTGAAAAGCTGAAAGGTTTTTTTCAAAAATTTAATTTGGCCTCTATGTGTTTATTTATGTGTATACTAAACACTTTTCAAGTTTAATTTAAGTTTTCGAAGTGTTTAATTAGAGAATGAAGTTTAGGGGTTATGTTTAGGGTTTCGACGACTGAAATTTCAGTCGTCTGTTTTAAATTATTTTCCAGACGACTGAAAGTTCAGTCGTCGTAGTA